CTGTCTCTCGTTCTCTCTCAGCAACTTGTGTCCCACGGCGTCGTCGACGACGACGTTCGACTTCGCTCGAGCAACTTTGCCCGCCAGCGACCCGACCGATCGTTACTCTCGCGCAAAATCGGCCGTCCCGCACCAGCCCGGAACCGGAGACCCGAGGAGCTCTTGCTCTTGGGTCGAATGGTTCTCGCTGTTCAAGATTTCGAGTGGCAGAGAGGGTTTTCTCTTTAAGATAATTGTATTTTCAGGAGAAAGGGTAGTTTATTCTGCAACCAGAAGACACTGGAAGTTCGTATTTTATTTTGCGAGAGGTCTCCTCGTTGGTACGTCGTTGAACCCCTCAATTAACTCCTCGATGATACTTAGCATGAAATGATATTTAGCGATATCCTTCCTCTAAGCTCACGTGAACCTTCCGTTCGGCCGAATTAAATACCGTTTCTAGGACGTTCTGTTATTAGTATGTCAAGGGGGTGACGTGTTTAATATTAATGGTGGGCTGCAATTACTTCAGAAATTAGTGATAATGAAAATGAACAGTGCAACGGACAAGTGACGCCCGGAGAACGAATCTGACACGATCAAACGACGGGCTGAACCTATCAGAGTAGACAGCGATATCAGCGAAACGACAGAATAATTTATCCTGAATGCAGTTTATACCCGGAAGTCTGAATAGCGAGAACTGATTCGGAGTTTCTCTCTTTTCTCCAGCGAAACGGCCAGCGAAGCTATCCAGGCTAGGCTCGCGCGCGCGTCGCGCTCAGAAACGAATGACTAGGTCGGTTTAGTCGTTATTGACGGTCGGCTAGTCGTTAATTAATTAGGTTATCGATTCGATCCGGTTGCATCGAACCGTCGCCGGTTCAAGGGTCGCTCTCTCGTCGCTCGTAGAAAGCGGCGGCCCCGTCGGTTCGCGTCGTCTGTGCACACGTGATCCGACGCGAGGCACACGCGTGCCTCCGCGCGGACACGTGCCGCGCTTTCATCCCGCCGCTACTCGATCCACTTTTCTCTCTACCCCCGTTTGTACCTGCCTCGAGCCTCGACCATCTTTTCCAGTTAATCCGGTAACCGATGGAGCTCCAAACAATCTGGAGAAACTACACGCGAATGTACAATATACAATAGTATCCTGGTAGCAAACTTTTCGCTCCAGTCATTTCAGGAGTGCCTTCGATCGCTGAAGTTGATAAATTGAATGGACGTTATGCAAACGATTGTCGAAATATCTAGAGACAAATTCCTGCAATACACTCCAAAATGACACTTTTAATTAAAGCATTTTGGTAGTTAGGTTCAGAGTTAGAGGATTCGGATTGAATCACTATTCTCGGCTTCATAGATTGAAAAGCACCCTCGAAATGATAAATTCGACTGAAACATTTTGCTGCCGGGGCGCTATACTACACACGGCAGATTATACACTTACCTCCTATGCAATAAAATGCAAACCAATGGCACCAATATTATAAGTTTGTATTCTACTGTACGAGAAACTTCGTGGTCGTTGAAAGTCACGAAGTCGAAGACACCCCGAGTCGTTTCGCTTCGGAAATCGGAGTCTCCCCATTCGCGATTCACGGGACGAGAATTTCTATTATTATTTTTATCGGAAAGAGCCGCTGCATCGCGCGTGGTCCTTTTCAAACGGAACGCCGACAGGAAGAAAGGAATCGGTTTCGTGGAACGCGGCACGCCCCGAACTTTCGAATTGGATAGGATTCACCGGAAAATTAAACCTCTACTTCTGGAGGACCCGGCGACCGGCTTCGCGGTCTTCTATCCTTGTCCTCGAGTCACCGATATCGTTCTTCTATCTGTAATCGAACCACCCCCCTCGAATCCACCAACGAATTCCTTTTTCGTCTTCATTCCCCTTTCTTCATCTTCTTCGATGATCATCTTGAAACTCCGTTAATCAACGAGAGAATTAAAATCATAATTGTGAGCCAAGTAGAAAGCAGAGAACAATGATCCAATAGTTCACGTTAAATTGTAAAATCCCACTAACGACTTGACGATGAAATTTCAAGAAATTCAACAAACTCGATTAACCGATTTGCCCAATGAGCGGCTCAACTGATAATGGAATCTAAGTTTCCCTTTTGCTCCGGGTTCCAGCGGAGAGTCCGCGCTGCTTGAATTTACGAACCAACGTGTCCAGGACAGTCTTAACACTTTGCGGCAGCTTTGGAATTCCTGACGTTCCCGAGAAACGAACGTGACGCGCGGAATTTCCGAGTCCCTTTCGAGTCTCCTTCGCATCTTTTCCGAGTCTCTTTCGAGTCTCTTTCAAGTTTCGTCCGAGCAAACATACGCGGCTTTCAAGAAACTAATCGACGATTTTGGTATTCCGTAAAAAAAATACAAAAATATTGAAGCCATTGAGATGCAGTTTGAAGTGGCTCGCAGGAATACTCTTAAAGCTTCGCCACATCGATCAGATCTTCCTAAGAACTTTCAAGTAATGGAGGAACCTTTGTTGCTGCTTCATCCGCGGTCGATGAAAATCCGATAATGCGTGTTTGTCGAGGATTAAACTACCGCATCAGTCAACATACCCAATATTTGCCCTGACTTCTAAGGTATCTTCAAGAGAATCAGTGCGAGATGCTTGTCTCGTCGTCTTCAAAGGTTCCCTTTCCGCGATCCGTTGAAACTGTCCGTCTCATTCGCGGCGAAACCGTGTCATCGAGATCGTACGCTTAACGTTCCCTTTCTTTTCTTTTTTCTCACAGTTTCCCGGTGTTCGTCGGCCTCTGTCCGATCGATCTCTTCCTCGCCCGCTTTTCCACCGCGGAAAGTCAGCCTCGCGCTTGATCGTTCGCAGCGACCGACCGCGCCTCGCGAACGTTTCGTTCGGCCGGGATTATTCGTCGAAGGGGCGGGGGATGAAAGGGGCGGGAACGGTAGGTTTCTAATAATTGTCGAGCAATACCCGTTACGCGTTTCGGAGATTCGTCCACCGCGACCGCCGAACCAATCGCGAAACATTCGATGATGATCGCGTCGCAGGAAAGGAACTCAGCGCGTCGCGTAAGCGTTTATATAGGACACGATATACAGCAGCCACACTGACACGGAGAGACACAGGGACACGTAACACGGATCGTCAGACAGGAGACGCGAAAGAGGAAAACAAAAAAAATAATAAGTTAAATAAATTTCTAGTTTAAGAGCGCGCGCGCGAACGAGAGACAGGGCGAGAGAGA